GAAGGAAGATTTTACTAGCAAATGGTTTCATTTCTTCCAGAACTTCCCAAAATCTCAGGAAAGAAAGGGAAGTGAGAGGGGGGTGGAGATAGCATGAGGATGCCGAGATGTAGCTGTTTCAGTAGAGGAGGCCAAAGGTGGCTTGATGGTTGGAAGGGAAGGAAACTTCCAGACAGAGGGCAGAGGCAGAGCTCTGGTCCTGGGAAGTCTGCATCTTCAGGAGGCCAGGACAGGGCCAAAGATCAAAGGTTTCTCTTAGCACCCACAGCCTACCTTTTAAACTGCTTTTATCTAAACTTGAGATGTCAACATTCCACAGACATCCACAGTAATCCAAGCAGGAAGGAGAAAGCATGGTGGGAATGAAAAGGGGAGGCCAGGGAGTTCCACTTGCTCTTGCTGTTCTTGCCTTCATACAACCTTGTAAGTCATTCTTTTTTGAACTCAAGGGAGGCCCAAAAAGGAGAATAGTGTGGTGTGAGAGTAGGAAAGGAAGATTCTGAGATAAATGATTGGTGTTTAAAAGGAAATTAAGAAATGGCCCCAGTGTGTTATTCAAATAATTGTTTCTAATTCATAAGGGACAACTCTAGGTGAGATGTGACTGTTTTAGTCAGAAGTTGAGGACAAGTACTTTAGAATGTCTAGTTCTACCCACAAACTCTTTCCTCACCCCTTCATTCAAGAAAGATTCTGTGGCTGAATAAAGTTCCATTGTGTATAAATACCACATTTTCTTAATCCACTCATCAGTAGTGGGGCATCTTGGTTGTTTCCATAGCTTAGCTATTGTGAATAGTGCTGCAATAAACATGGGTGTGCAGGTGCCTTTGTAGTAACCTGAGTCACATTCCTTCGGGTATATCCCTAGGAGTGGGATTGCTGGATCATATGGCAGATCTAGTTTTAGTTTTTTAAGAAGCCTCCATACTGCTTTCCATAGTGGTTGTACTAGCTTACATTCCCACCAGCAGTGTACAAGGGTTCCTTTTTCCTGCATCCTCACCAACATTTGTTGGTGGTGGTGTTTTTGATGATAGCTATTCCAACAGGAGTGAGGTGGAATCTCAGTGTGGTTTTGATCTGCATTTCCTTTATGGCCAGGGATGGTGAACATTTTTTCATGTGTTTTTTTAATCTTAAACTGGCAGAGGGCACTATGGAAAGGGGACTAGGAAGTAGTGAAGAGGTCGGTATAGATGAACCAATTTGGGTTGTAATACACATATACATGTAAACAACACAAAGAATCTCCCTGTTTAGCTATCCTTATTTTAAACTAGCAAAACCACCATATTTTTCTTGCTATCTTTTGTGTTTTTTTCTTCAACAAAACTGCAGAACAAAAGGGAGGAACAGGTTCTGTCCGGAGGTGGGGGTGGAGGGAGTGTGGCTCAAATAATGTATACATATGTAAGTAAATGTAAAAATTATAAAACAAAATTTAAAAAAAAAAGACTCTGTGCCAGACCTTGTTGGAGGACCTGGGACTGAAGCAGAGAATAAACAAAGACCTCTGCATTCATGGTTCTTAAAGTTCAGTGAAGGAAACCTACCAGGAACCAAGGTAAACAGGTGAAATGAGCACGCAGTGTACTGAGATGCTAGCTGACCAGTCCGTTGGAGGACAATGGGAAGGAGAAAGGCATGTATGTATGAAGACTGCAGTTATTATAAGGGTGCTGTGGGAAGGCCTCATATGAAAGTGACCTTGACCAGGGCTCGAGGTAAGTGGATAGAGTCAGTGTGAAAGACTAGAAAGAGCATGTGTGGAGGCCTGAGGCTGTCTCAATAGACCTCAGGAAAGGGCAGGGATAGATGGGATTAAAGAAGAGTGACTGAAAGAAGGGGCAGGGGCTGGGAATGGAGGGACTTGGATGCCCTCTAGGTATGTGAAAGAGGGACTTTACCTGTAATTAAGGTCAGAGGATAGAGACGGGGCCCCAAGTACATTGTAATAGGTCCACTTTGGCTTCTGTGTTGAAGACACAAGACATAGAAATGGAGGCAGGGGCAGAACTGGGGGACCAAAGAAGAAGCTGTAGCTTTGTCTAGGTCAGGGATGGTGGCCCACTCAGGTAGTTCCAGAGATGATGAGCAGCCAGGAAGATCACAGCAGCATAATTTCTTGTTGGGTTTAGATGTTAGTGTTTGGACAAGTGTCTTGAGGTTCTAGCTTGAACTTCTGGAAGGATGGAGTCACCAGGAATGGAGGTAAGGAAGACTGAGGGGGAGGGGTGTATGCTCATGGTACAGGGATGGTCCCTGAAGGTGTGAGATGTCGATTCTTCATGCACACGGACACAGCTGTGGGAAGGGAAGAGCTCCAACTCAATGATATCCAGTTCACAGGGATGGGTGTCCCTTTGAGTCCTGGTACCTTAAGGCGACAAACCATCTCAATAGTGTTCAACCTGTCTAGTGAACTGCTGTTTTGGGGATATCAGAACTGGTGGCTCCCATGGTCACTGCTGAGGGAAGCATGTGGGGCATTTGCTCCCCACTCATGTTATACTTTACCTTCACCAAGAATGACTCCTGTGGTCCCTGCCCCTGGTACCCACTCCTACCCTTAACACTCCAGTGAGGGATGGACTCAATGCTCACTTCTAGTGAGTAGAATTGGGCAAAAGGGGTGGTATACCTCTCCTGAAACTAGGGGCTCTTCATCCCTACACTGGCAGAAGAGAAGGAATTGAGCACAGAAGGCTGCCAGGGCACCACTCTCAGAGACACCATTGTGTTCAAGCCTGGGGATTGAAGGTTACAAAGTGACCTATCCATGGTATGAGTTCTATCCATGGTGCTTTCTCTCCCTGGGTCTTGTCATAGACTTGTTACGATGGGGCAGCCACCCATAAAGGTCTGAGGGTAGCCTGTAGCTGATCCAGTGAGGAATTGACCTTCAGTCCAACAGCATTCAAGGGACTGAATCAACAACCACAGGAGTGAGTTTGAAACCTTTTGAGCTTTCCCATAACACTCCAGGCCCTGGCCAACACCTATAGCCTGCCTGAGTTCCTGGCCCACAGAATGGGTCCTCAAAAGGTATCTCATGTATACCACATGTTAATTTCTATTCCTGTGATGTAAATGTGTGTTGGTATAAGCCACAAAATTTGGGGTGATCTACTAGGCAGCAAAAAGGAACAATACACCTCACCTCCTACTAGTGCAAGCTGTACAGTTAACACAGAATGCAATTTCTCCTTCTAGAATTAGAGGATTCTTTTTAAGGCCAAAGTTAAAAAAAATCTCCAGTGAAAAAAACATTAAAATTTATGTAATGCAAAAGAAAGAAAAAAAAAAAGGAAGAAAGGGCTATGTTTACTCATCATAGCTATTGTCATGCATTAATATCCTGATCAACTGAACAATGGGTGAGATCTTGTCAAAATGGTTGTGGGAGAATGAGTTACCTACATGGACCACAACAAGCTTTTGAAAAACATACTTAACCTCGGGGGTCTGACAACTCTTAATTTTTATTGTTTTAACTCCACTATAATATTGTATTCCAAAAACAATTCTTGTTCATTGGAAGAAAAAAGACAGTATAACAAGGAAGAAAAAGAAGATTAAAATGCCTAGCTTCATTTACATAGATATGCACACATGCACACACACATATACACAGGATCAGATTGTTTGTAGGTCTGTGTTTTCACTTATTTATAGATCCTGAGCACATTTCTATGTCAATATATATTTATCTTCCTATCTGTAACAGCATTTGAAAGTTATTACAGTGTATATTTTTGCCATACTACTTTAACTCATTGTCATGTTTGGGTTATTAGATTGTATCTGTTGTTTTCTATGCTGCAGACAACTTGATACAACAAATGACCAAACTTCTAACTTTAGCTATGAAAAAACAGTAATTCCATCAGAAGACAAAGGGCATTTGTCGAGGATAAATTTGGTGTTGCACCACCTTTTTGGAGTGTCTGCTCTAGAAAGAAATGAGTGATTAGTACTCCTTTTCTGGAACACAATTCTGGCCCGTGGTGAACAGAAACTTCTGTGGGCAGAGGGGCTCAGAGCCTGGACACCCTCTTCTGCCTTAAGAAGGTCAAAGGCACCCCATGCTATCTTTAAAATACTCAGTAATCTCCTTTACATTTCTAGAATAGTGCTTAGGTTCAACCTCAGACTTTGCACTCAGAATAACCTACAGAGCTTATTAAAAATACATATTCCCTGGCTGCATTCCCAGAAATTGGACTGAGGAGAGGTAGGAGTGGATGGCTGATAGGGAAGGTTCTTCTGATGACCATCTGCGTTTAGGAACTGCTCCATAATTCAGGCTGTAGGCAGAGACCAGCCTTCACCCTCCTTATCTCTCCAGAGAACGATAAAGTTTTGATGTTCAGAGAGATGAGATGGAGAATGAGGCAAACATTCAAAATAAATTTGTGTGCCTCCATCTTTTTTCTAGGGTTGCCCTAAACTAAAAACTAGTTTATGTTACTTTTATTGCCTTTGCTGTCTTTTTCTTTCTTTAAAAAAAAAAAAAGTTCCACAGACTTTGATCGCACTGGAAGCAGGCTCTATGGTGATGCACTGGCCCTTTGTGAAAATTTTCTGGGTTACCACTAAAGGAACTGCTTGCAGGATGAGAGTATGTCACATTACAGTAAAGCTCCAGGAAAAAAAAAAAACTTGTTGAAAATCACAAAAGATATTGGATATGGATATTTTGCAACTGTAATTTCCAGTAAAGCCATCAGAGATCTGGTGACAATGCAAGACCAAGGGATTCTTTAAGTGGGAACAGCTGTTCCATCTTCCCCATCCCTTTAGCGCCTTTCCCCACTTTTTTGGCATTCTTCAGCATCCAGATTTGGATTGAAGGGCCCCGTGCACCAGGGCTCCTGTGACGACCAGGAAATCACAGCTTTGTAGTAGCCCAGGCAATGACGCCCACGTTTCTTCATCAATTCGAGGATCCACTCACAGACCTTTCTCTCTGATCTCAGACTGGAGATAAAACCTAGATGGGAGAGGGAAGGTCCCCGGAAAACAAACTATAAGGCAAGCCACCACTCTGAGGCCGCCCCCAGAAAGAATCCTGCGGGAAGCAGGGCGCGTGCCTCTGCAACAGCTAGGATCGCACCCAAACCGCCGACCCAACAGCCAAAGCTGCCCGGCTGGCCGCGAACCTCCGCACCCACGTGAGGTCTTCGCGCCCATCTGTGACATTCAATGCCCACTTGAGATTGCGTGCACCTGCAGAACTGTCGCCCAGCTCTCGAGGTACACCCCCCATGTAGCCTCCTCAGCCAGGGATGTTCCCTCCATCAGCCACCTGCCGCGCTACACTCACCCCGCCCCTCACCATGGCGCTTCCCGGTGCGCTGCTCCTTCCCATTCTCCACGCCCAGCCGGTGGCGCGCCCGCGTCTCCGCAGCCCAGACTGACCCCGCCCACGTGCGCGAGCCCCGCCCGCCGCCTCCGCCCATTGGCTCTCGGGCGGGGCGGGGGCGGCTCCTGCCGGGTGCGGGCGGGGCGGTGGTTCCGAGGCTGGCGCGCGTGGCCCAGATCCTCTCACTGCTTGCTGCGCACCCAAGCGATCCGACATCCTTCGGTCTTCCTCACCATGGGCGACGACGCCTCCGCGACCTCCAGGGGCTCCCTGCGGAAGTTCCTTGAGCACCTCTCCGGGGCTGGCAAAGCCATCGGTGTACTGACCAGCGGCGGGGATGCCCAAGGTGCGCGCCCGCCCGCCGCGCGGGCCAGGGCGGGAGAGGAGGGCGGTGGAGGGCAATGCTGGGGAGGAGGAATGAGGGAAATGGGAAGAAGCGTTGGGAGAAGAGGACTTACAAAAAACGAGGGGGAAGTTACAGAGAGCCTGGGAGAAGCGGAAGGCCAGGGGCGGGGAGCAACCCATGCACCTAGGAACCGCATCGCGGGGTCGAGTGCTAAGAATGGAGGGATATAGCGTTAGAATCCTTCGTCAGTTAATTTTCCATCTCCATGTTCATTATACTGACATTGGCAATGAGATCTTTCTGCCTCTGAGTCATAGGATGGAGCCAGGCGTCCCTTCCAAAGCTTAGGTACAGGGCGACCACTGAGATCCCGCAGCATCCACCCCAGCGTGGCCTTCCCAACCCACCTCAAGCCCCGAAATATAGAAAAAAAAATCGGGGTCTACACGGCGTCTCCAGCCCATTCGCGCCACTCGCGCGGCGCGGGCGGAGTCTGCGCTGCTGCATTGCGGGACGCGGTGGGGAGCGCGCGGGGTCTCACTCGATGTTGCTTGGGCGGCGCCTCAGAGCCTCATGTTTCCGCTTGGGGACTTAAAAAAAAAAGGTTTTCCTCCGCTCTGATCTCCTGCCGTCTTCCGGCTCGTAACAAAACTGAAAACCAAAATGGGTCACTAGGCCTTCCCCGCCAGCCTCTCTTGGACGGGAAAGACCAGGAAGCGGGGACTCCGGGACGTCACCAGCGCTGGGAGCGCGGACTTCTAGCCTTCCCTTTCTCCGCTATAGGGAGGCTAATTTCAAAGCGGAAGAGACCCAAATCTGGAGCCTCTTCGACGTGAGAGACTAAGAGAATATTAAAGATTTAAAAGCGGGGGGTGGTGATGGTTGATGGTGATGATGGTGACTTGGCTGCGCCCCTCGGCCTCTCGCCCTGAATACACGTGGGGGCGCTGGGGTTCCCAGACGGAGGAGTTTTTTGGTCCAAATTAAATCCTGGTGAAGGTAGAGCCAACCACTAAAAAGTAGATCAGCGCTTATCAGGCGAATTTGCCTGCCCTGGAAACCTTAAACATCGCGCGGGCTGGGCACACGTTTCCCGAGCTGGTTTTGGGTTTTATTTTTCCTTCTTACCCCTGCCCGAGATGAGTCCAAAGGCCCCAGATGCGATGTCCTATTTCTTCACGTATCAGGGCCACACATTGTTGAGGGATGCTCAGGACTTGAGCCCCACTGCCCTCACCTTCTGCCTTCCCAGCAGGTGACCTTCCTTTCGCCCTTGAGCGGGGCGGAGCCGGCGCGAGTGCCGCAGGTTGGAGAGCTTTGGGCACCGCCCCGCCCTCCACGGGCGCCTACGTGATGCCGGGCCCGTCGCAGGAGTCGTGCGCCCTAGATCCACGACACCCGCGCGCGCGCGTCTTAGCGTCCACTTAGCCGTGCGTCAGGCGCGCGCAGGCTCTGCGCACTGGGATTTCCAGTGAAACCTTCCCGAGGCACCAGTCACTGACCACACCCCACAGACCTACTGTCCACCAGACAAAGCAAGATTGTTGTAGTATTAGTGTTCTAGTAAGGTGATCCCTAGAGTAAACATTCCTTACCGAGGGCTGTTTCTTGGGGAAAGAAGCTGTTGGGATTGGAAAAACAGAAGGGGAGATAAGATGGCTTCAAGTTGCTTAAATAAACACCTGAGGATGTGCTATTATGGGGCTGTCTGGGGATGGAACAGTGAGTGGCTTTCCATCCCGGTGGAAAGGCTTTAAAAGCAATTGCATCCATCCAGAGACCTAGTGGTAGAGCAAATTAGGAAGTACTTTGGATCCTGGGTGGCCAGAGAAGAAACTTCCTACAAGAAGGGGAACTGGGTTCAGCAGAAGGGGACCTTGCACCAGGGTGGCAAGTTTGACTTTCAAGGTTATTTTGCAGTTTAGATTCTGTATCTGATGAAAAAAAAATATGGATCATCCTTTTGAAATCCCGGTCCAAATGTTTGCTGCAGTAGTTTGGATGCTTCTGTACAAGCATGTAAAATACTGGTTCAAAGTTTTCTCTGTTACTTACCTAGATCTGCCACTCAGGAGGGAGTTGTAACTATTAACTATAAGTCCATTCTTCAGTGGATACCCTGAAAACCAAAATTACATGAGAACATTGCTTGGTTAGTATAGCCTTAATGGGAGATGACTGCTCTTAGCTTAACAGGTAGCATCAAATAAGGTCATGCTCTTTCAACTGTCACACCTGGGCTGTCCCTGTGGCACCCAACCATGGCTAGTTGGGTGTTATTCCTTGCCAGAGGAAGACTCCATGTAAACAATCTCCTGGTGTATTGCTCTCTTGGACCTGTTTGAGAGTTTGTATGCATTTGTTTCTGAGAACATCTGCCCTAAGATATACTCAGAGAGCCTGGACTTAGCAACAGGTCCCAGGCCCTTTAGGTAGATTCTTCCTTGAGACAATTATCTTTTGTACCCCCTATTCTTTCACAGTTTACCTCATCTTTCTCTGTACTTGATTTTCCCTGAGAAAGAATTTTATTCACAGGAAGAGAAAGGAGAATGCATTCAAATCTTATTTTTAGGGCAATTCTCTAATCAGATGTGAAATTACAGTAAAATTCCATTCTGAAATGATTGTAGTTACTATTTTTTTCTGTTCATTTATGAACTAGAAGTGTTGCAGTTCCTATCGCTAGGACTAATTACATGACTCCAAGATATAAATTTCTTCATTTTAGAGGTGAGAGGAAAGACTCACAAAGAGATAAATTAGGCAAGGCCAGATCGTGTTGTAGCAGGATTTAAACCATATTCTATGAGTGCTCACCTTCAAACACTCCTCACTAGACTGTTCTTTTTTTTGGGGGGGGTGCAGTAATGGGGTTTGAACTTAGGGCCTCACACTTGCTAGGTAGACGCTTTACCAGTTGAACCACTCCACCAGCCTTTTTTTGTTTGTATTGGGTATTTTAGAGGTAGGTCTCATGAACCATTTGCCTGGGACTGGGTTCTAACTGCGACCTCCCTGATCTCTGCCTCCTGAGTAGCTAGGATTACAGGAGTGAACCACTGCCTGGCACCCAGGTTCTTTTCTTTGGTGGTGGGGGATTCTTAGGGATTGAACTCAGGGCCTCATGCTTGCTAAAGGAGAGCTCTACCACTTGAGCCAAGCCCTCAGCCCTTTGGCTTTTAGCTTTTTATCAAAACTCTCACTTTTGCCCAGGCTGGCCTTGGATTGTGATCCTTTTAGCTCTGCTTCTTGAACAGCTGGAATTACAAGTGTGAGTCATCATACTCAGCTAGACTGTGTTTTTAAGGGTTTTTTCTTGGTGTCCTTAAGAGTGAGTCAATCCAGACTTGCTCAAAATTACTCAAAGGACTTTTGATCAACTTTGTTAGTGAGACAGAATATTCCTTTTTACAGTACTAGCAATCAAGGTGGCTAAAATAAATGTCACCCCGATACCAATGTGATAGAGTGCTTTTTTCCCCCAATGGAATTTATGTTACATCATTATGAAGTAAAGTGAAATTGTCCCTGTCTACATTACTGCCTCCTCCAATCCCCACTTAGAGGGTATTTCTTAGGCATTTTTTTTCTCATCTTGTGTGGTTATAAAGTATGTCTGCAAAATATTTTAAATTAATTTCACTTGAACCTCAAAAAGGTTCCACATTGCTAGATAGGCAGGCTTGCCATGACTAAGTGTACACCCTCAGATAATACTGTGTCACATATAAAAATAACTCACAGTCGTAGACACAGGCTGGCTCCTGCATCCTGCTGCATAGTAGAGCTGAAGATGCTCAGGAGCTAACGTGCATCCCTCTAGCAGGCCGAGTCCTTTCTGCCCCTGGCAACATCAACATTTTTATTGACGTTTACTGAAACATACTTACTGAAAGTCCAGTTATTCCGAGTATTTGTAAGTCTTTCCAAGTGCAGTGAGAATAACTAGCATTGAGTGACTTCTTGTCATGTGACAGGCTCAAAGTGCTCTTGGGTGCAACTTACCTCCATTTTACACAAGAGCAAGTGAAGTCAGAGGTGAAGGCTTCCCTGAGAGCTAGAGCCAGACCATGTGGCTGCAGTATGTCTTCACCAGTACAGTTCCTGGTGGAACTGTAGATCCATGGGCCAGTACAGTACATAGCAGATGGCAAACACTCAAATGTCTATTGACTGTCTCACCTGGAGTCATCACTGGAGAGTGACAGGTGACTAGAGTTCCAACTGTTTTCTTGTTTCCTGAAATTATTTAGGTGAATTAAACCCTTACCAATTAAAAGTACCTTTTTATCCTCAGAGCAATGTGTGAACTACCAATGCTTCAAGATGAAAACTGCAGTAAGATGTATGTGGTGGCCATGACTTGACCCAGGGACTCAGTTGGTTCTTCCATCTCACATAGCAGTCTGGCCTCCATATTTATGGCTTCTGTATTTGCAGATCCAGTCAAGTCAAACACAGATGGAAAATATTTTTTTAATGTCATCTGTGCTAAATATGAGTGCCACTGATTTGCATAGCATTTACACTGTATAAGGTATTTGCAAGTAACTGCTAGATGATTTAGAGTGTTGGTAGGGAGTGTGCAGAATATGTAAACATCCCACATCAGCGGGGCACCACAGGCTCATCCTTATAATCCCACCTACTTGAGAGACTGAGAACAGTAGGATTAAGGTTCAAGGCCAGGTTGAACAAAAAAAGAACCACCCCCCCACAACCTTAATCAAAAGATGGACATCTGGCATCCCAGTTAAGTGAGAGGCCACGATCGGGAAGATCCAGGTTCCAGGCCAGCCTGCAAAAAGGTTGGTGAAATACTATATCAACAAAAAAAAAACTGTCCATAGTGGACTGAGAATTATAGTGCAAGCCCACTATAGAGTAGGGAGTATTGTGTATCTGCATCATTTTCTCTGTATGGAAATATTTTTTGCATGACATTTTTGAGATGACCCATTAGAAGCTAGACATTTCATCACCTTTTGAAAACACAA